GCAACACAGTGAGTCCCTGAAAGTCAAACCGTGAGCTAGCGAGGGACTACTGTATACATGGTGAAACTAATTTAGTGAGACTTACAAACATTTTAAATTATATTAGTCATACAAACTGATACAAACTAATTATATTAGTTTGATACCCTCACACGTCTACCTACATGAAATGACTTAGAAAATGCCTTCCTCTGCTCAGTTTCTCACCTTGAGAATGATATTCAAAAATACCGTGATATATGATAAGAAAAATAAAACTGATAACAAAACACAATACCTAAAGGAACAAATTTTTTTCTGTAGCATGTCCTGACAAAATGCTTTGCTAACAGGTTGGTACACATAGGACTCTCAAAGGAACTGATAGAAATGAAAAAACTTTTTCATAGATTCCTTAATTAAATCAGAGGTACATTATTGTCTCTGTATCTTTCAATTTCAATATAGTTTTAATGTTCACATTCTCTGTAATTACCTTCAAAAGATCTTGAGACATCAAGGGCAAAATGAGGTTCACTCCGTATAAAACAACATCAGCTGCTGACACAGATCTGTTTGCTGCTTGACCTGGCTCATGTCCTCTAAACACTTCATCTATCAAAACCAGAACAACGCAGTCTTATGGTTATAATATCCAAGGTTCAAATTCTGTCCTCATACAAGTGAAAATAAATTCAAACCTTAATAACCCCAATAAATACATGAGTGGATAAAAAAGAAACGTGGTAACTCTAAACCTGGGCCACCCTGTTGTGTTTTATTTGTTCAAGAGTCTCAGTACTTGATGCAGAAGTACTAAGGAGGTAAGGGGAAGAGACAGTCTCGAAATAGAAGTAAATCTCATATTTAGTGTAACATAAAATGAACATAAAATCTGACATGATAGCCATACAATGAGTTAAATTATTTCCAAAGAAATATCTACTTGATGTCTTGGGTATATGAATCTTTCTACACTTACAAGGGAACAGGGGAAAATATGGAAATGAAAATGTTAAAAACAGAAAGTAGTTTAAATAAAAAACAATAAATATGATAAAGGATTATTATCTGTAATACATATAAAGTATATCTATATACAAATTAATGAGAATGTTAAACCTAAATAGCTAAGTGAGCAATATCCATAAACAATGAAAAACAGTTCACTCAACTGGTTAGTTGAGATTTACTTTTATTTTTTTGTTTTTTGGTGCTGAGGACAAAATGCAGGGCTTCCAGCTTGCTAGGCAAGGATTCTACTGCTGAATTAAATCCCCAGCCCATTGCTCCAACTGTGAATTAAGCAATGTAAACTTTATAAGGTTATGACTTCTGATTCACTGAACTAAGAATGGTTTTAAATGATAGGATAGTACTGCGTTGCTGGTAAGGATACAATGTAATAGCTGTCTTCAATAGCAATACATTAAGACCCTTTGAATACATAGTCAGAAATTCAAACAGACTTGTCTACAGCTCAGTGCAATTCTAGGCCAGGTGTGGTGGCACATGCCTGTAATCCCTTGGGAAGCTGAAGCAGGAGGATCGCTGGAGTTTGAGGCTAGCCTGGACTACAAAGTACACTGAAAGCCTGCCTGAACTGCACTGTGAGACCCTGTCTCGAAAAAAGACCAAAACAAAGCAATCCAAAAAACAAAAGCAAAGCTGGCCAGATAGCTCAGCAGACTAAAGAGCTTGTTTAGGCAGAGCACAGTGGCCAGGGTTCCATCCCTGGCATGCTGTGCCAGCCCCGCCCCCAGGGCATGCTCAGATGACAACTGAGACTGGATGTGGTGGTGCACATCTTTAATCCTAGCTCTTGGGAGGCTGAAAATAGGAGTCTGATCTACATAGTAAGACCCTGCACTAAATACATTAAAAAAAAAAAAAAAAGCAACAACAAAAGAACCAATGTAATGCTGTATTTTTCTTTTTGTGGGAGTATTAAGGATTGAACCCAGGGTTTCCTGAGCTATAGCTCCCTCTCTTTTTTCTTTTTTGGAGACAGTCTCTCTATTTAGTTCAGACTGGCCTCAAACTCTCAGCAATTCTCTTGCCTCAGGCTTCTGAGTGCTACGATTATAGGTGCTCACCAGCTGTTGAGCTACATCTCCAACGCTTTTCTTATTTTTATTTTGAGTTTTGAGACCAGTCTCAATAAGTTACTAATTTGCCCAGGGTGGACTTAAACCTGCAATTCTTCTGCCTTGGCCATTAATTAATTAATTAATCAATTAATCCACTAGACAAGGTCTCACCAGGCCTCAAACTCCTGGCAATTTTCCTGCCCCAGTCTCCCAAATGGTGAGATTACAGGCATGCACTACCACATACAGTTAACTTTTTGGTACCAGGAACTGAACTTAGGACATAGAACTTGCCAGGAAGGCTCTGTGCCACTGAGCCATCTTCCTGGGCCAGCAACTTGCACTCTATCTTTAAAAGAGCAAAAATACAAATATTATAGATGTTCAAAATTAAGGAAAAAGGTTAGCTTCTCAACTGTGTAATATCATGCAGCCATTAAAAATATCATGACAAACTGTAATGACATGGAAAAGGTTAACATTAAATTTTTTTCTACCTTTCTTATTTATGTGCGTGTGTGTGTGTGTGTGTGTGTGTGGCCAGCCCAGCCCACCAGGGGGCGGGGCCAGCTGGCATGTGGTGCTGGGGGATTGAACCTTGGTCCCTGTGCTTTGCTAAGCTTGTTCTAAGTAGGTGCTTTAGACCACTGAGCCATCTCACCAGCCCCAACATTAAATTTTTTAAAGGCAGAAAATAAAATTGTATTTAAAACATGACTACAAATAATTTTCTACAAGGATAAAAAAAGAAATTCCTAAACTGTAATGCACAGTTGACTCTAAATGGCATCAAAATTACTGGAAATTTTTTTATCTGCGGCTTTTAAGGATAAACTGTTATGATATTTTTATTTAAAACAACATTTTCAGACTCATTCTGAATTTTTCCTAGAGTCTTAGTTCTGATTAAAAGAACCACATTTTCCAAAGTAGGGTCAGTAGATATCCCAATCAACCTGCATATGCCAGGCTGTTGAGAGCCACTAAAAGTTGGTGACTGTCCACTCTGTAGTTTAGGGCTTTGAACCCAAGAGGGCCTCCCAAACTGTACTTAGCAAAGCACTAGATCTAAGATGGTGGCTATCTCAGTAGGTGTGGAGGACGTGCTATGGAATAACTCTGAAAAGCCTGTAGTCTAGAGTCTCAGCTAGGGTTCTTTTTGTTGTTGTTTGTTTGCAAGGGGTTCTTGCTATGGTCCTGAAATCACTACATAGCCCAGGCTGGCCTTGAATTCCTAGTGATTCTAATGCCTCAACCTCAAAGAGTGCTGCTGGAATAACAGGCATATATCACCATGCCAAGCCTAAAATAATAAAATAATTCTGATTTTAATGCTGACTTACTGGTTAAATACCTTTGGACAAGTTACTTAAAACATTCTGTACTTCTGCTTCATCTATATCATGAGATTAATTGTGGTAACTACTTTGCTTTGCATTTAGTTATTAATCTTATAAGAATAAAATTACATAGGGAGAGCTCTTGTTCCCTACTTCAACTAGAGATCTCATTTGTTTGGTACACTGAATTTCCTCCTGGGATTTCCCTTTAACAAAGCCCCAAACCAAAAAACAACAGTTGGCTTTAAACAACCACCACTACCTCTTAAGAAGCTGAAGAAGGAGGATCACTAATTTAAACCCAGCCTGGAAAATTTAGGGAGACATTGCCTCTAAAGAAAAACAGCTCAGTGTAAAAGCCCTATGTTCAATTCCCACTACCACCAGACAAATAACAAACACACACAACAACAACAAAACTTAAAAGCCATCACAGTACATTTTACCTGTATCACTGAAATCTATGAATTCCTTTGAAAGAAGGTTAGTAAGAAGTTCCATAATGAGAAGCAGGTCTTGGTATTGTTCTTCTTCTGCTGTAACATCTATTCTTTGCCGCCCTAAGTTATTCTTAGAATATACTTGCAACAAAGTAAGGCAGGCTTCATATAAGTTCATAGCTTTGGACTATGAAAGAAAATATGCATATATTGAGTTACTTGAAATGACATGTGTTGAAGTTTAATTATACCTCCAAAAAGGGATAAAGGGATGAAACTAGAAACTATCTTACCTCTCCAAGATAGCATATCTGTTTATGTGCAACTTCAACAAAAACTTCTATAATGAGATTGACAGTCTCTGGGGTATTTTTGTAAACTTCCATTAACCCAATGCAGTTGGTAAGGAAATCCATTAAAAAGTTAAAAAGAATGGCCACATTGTCTATCTGAGTAGCCTCAGCAATGCCACACAGGGCCTCCAGTGTGGCAGTGATCTCCTGCTTGACCTCCTCTTGCTGGCACATTTGCTGAAAGTTTTCTTGATTTATCACTCTTAAGAATCGCTGCTGAAGTGGCTGAAGGACCTATAATGATACAATGTAAACTTTCTAAACATGGTTTCTTTGACTTAGAGGAATATTCATCTTCCAAAACATTTGCAACTGCTGTAAGACAGAGTATCCAAATCACACACTACATTCCCCATTTTGAAGGCTATCCTAACTTTGATAAATTATACCCAAGTCACAGAACATGACTTTCTCAGTCCCACTCACAGAATTCTGTCACTTCACTCCATTTCCTTCCAAGTGATTAGCAAAAATATGTTTAAAAGACCAAAAATGGGGGATGGGGAGACAGCTCAGTAGAGCGCAGGGTCCTGAGTTCAATCCCCAGGTTCTGGAAAAAAAAAAAAAAAAAAGACCAAAAATGTAAGACATTAAAGGGGGTGGGGGGCAGTAAAATTTTCTTTTTTTCCCTGAGAAAAGATCACATAAGAAATAGTTTGTGTGTTGGGGCCAGGGAGATAGATCAGTACAGTAAGCACTTCCCTGGCAAGCACAAGGGTCTAAGCTCAATCCCCGGTTCTGCAAAAAAAAAAAAAAAGAAAAAAAGAAAAGAAAGCAAGAAATAGTTTGTGTAAGGGCCAGGAGATAGCTTGGCAGTGCAGTGCCTGCCAGGCAAGCTTGAAGTCATGAGTTTGATTCCTGGTACCAAAAACAAAAAAAGTTTGTATAGTACAGAACAAGCTGAACACCACCATTTCTCAGTTAAACAATGTACACAACAGATACAGATCAGATTTGGTCCATGGGCTATAGTCTGCATGCTTTGCTGCTCTATAGTATCAGGCTCAGCACAAACTTCATTCCTCCTGGCACACATGAGAAAACCAGTCCTATCCTAAACGTGAGAGTAGTCAGGCTTAGAGGTGTGGCTCAGGGCAAGGACATTTGCCTAACATATTCTGACTCGTAGCAATACAAAAAAAAAAAAAAAAAAAAAAAAAAAAAAAAAAAAAGAGAGAGAGAGAGAAAGCACAGTACCTTAATCCTATCTAAAGCTGTTGATATAATATAGCTATTTAAACTAGAAATTCATAGCCTGTGTTCCACTCGTTATGAAGTCACAGAAGACTGTCTGATTCTACTACGGACTGCTTCGCAGACATTAAGAGCACCCTACAGAGCAAAGCCCTGGCCTGCGGTGCCAGCCCCGCCCCTGGCGCAAGCTGTAACGCCAGCACCTGGGAGGCGGAAAACAGGAGAATCACTATGAATCCTATCTATGCAGTGAGGCCCTGTAGGCCCTATCCTAAACACAAGGAAAAAAAAAAGAGCACTCCAGACACAAGGGCTCTAGTAGGGCAACCTACATACACACTTGATCCCTGATTGAATGTTTCTGCATAACATGTCTATGTTAAGGGTGGAATTTTGTCTTTTCAAAAATTCATCTGTGGAAATCCTCAGAATGTGACCTTATCTGAACAGTCACATCTATTGTAATCAGTTAAGATTAGGTTATCTGGAGCAGGGTAGGCTCCTATAAAGAAGGAAATGTAGGGCCAGGGAGCTAGCTCAGTAGAATAGGCACTTGCTTGGCAAGCACAAGGTCCTGGGTTCAATCCTAGTACTGTTTAAAAAAAAAAGGAGGAGGAAATGTGGTGTAGACAGACATACAAGGAGAACGCCATGTGAACACCAGGCAGAGATCAGGGAGATGCACATACAATCAACAAAGCCTAAGGTCACCAGCAAACCAGAAGAAGCTATGGAGTGCTCTTCACAAGGAAACCATGTTGCCATACTTTACCCTGCATATTTTTTTGTCCAGCATGAGACAATAAATGTCAACTGTTTAAGCCAAGAAGTTTACAGTAGCCTCAGAAATAATTACAGAACTTTGCTTGCATCTACTTGTTCAAAGCAAGAATGTTTCACTGATTCTTAATGACACAATTCCCCTTATCTGTTAATGCTCTGGGGATCAAATAAAGGGCTTCTGGTCAGTGCTACATCACTGACCATATCTCTGACTACATCTTTTCTAAATTTTATTCCAAGAGAGAGAGAAAAAAACCCTCAAAATAAGGTAATAGATTAACAATGATTAATGCATTTGTGCCTTATCTTTAAATTGGTTACTCAGAGCCAGACATGGCGGTGCATGCATGTAATCCCAGTACTTGTGAGGCGCATACAGGAGGATCACTGCAAGTACGAGACTAGCCTGGGCTACCAAGTGAGTTCAAGGCCAGCCTGAACTGCATAGCAAGTCCACCACCAATCACTCAGAGTATAAGACACAGGCATTTAATTCTACAAATAATATTAACACAAACCCTTCTATTCAGTGAATAAAGAGAAATTTGTAGTATAACTATCTTTATACATTTTTCTTTTCTCTTCCTTTTCTCCTTGGCCCATCCCAGTTTCTCTTTCCCTTTAAACCATTTTTTTTTCCCCATTTCATAGTATCTATGGTACATTTTGAGTCTTATTCTTTCAGTTTTTCACACCAGGGAGATAATACAATGTTTATTCATGTGAATCTAATTTATTTCACTTATGAGTATGGTCTCTAGTTGTATTCATTTACCTATAAAAGTCTCTAGTGTATCCATTATGGCTAAGTAGTACTCCACTGTACAAAAAGACTACATCATTTTTATCCATTCATTGGTTGATAGGCATTTGGATTTTTCCAAGATCTAGCTACTACAAACTGTGCTACTATAAACATGGGTGCACATACACTGCTGTGGTAAAATAGATTAAATTCTTTTGGGAAGATACCCAGCAGGGGAATAGTTGGATTGAATAGAACCTCTAATGCTAGTTTTTTGAGGAATCTCCCCACTGATTTCCATGGTGCTGTACCAGTCCACACTCCCACCAATAGTGGAGAAGGGTTCCTTTTTCCTGACAGCTTTGTCAGTACTTGTTATTGGTTGATTTCTTGATTAATAGCTGTTCTTTCTGGGGTGAGATGGAATCTCAATGTTTTAATTTGTATTTCTTGAATGACTACTGATGTTGATCATTTTTTCATATATTTATTTGCTGTTTATATTTCTTCATCTGAGAAGTGTGTTTATCTCAGATACCCATTTTTAGGCCAGCCATTTTTTGATAATAATTCAATATACCACTTATAGGCCCTCACCTGAGCAGAGAAAATGTATCTCAAATATAGAACACTTGATAAAAGTCAATGGTATCACATAAGCAAGTTCAGACAAACCATGAGACAGAACAGAATTTGTCAAATAATAACTGTCAGCTTATTCATTAGTTGGAAAAAATATTAGAAAGACTATGAATGCAGCAATTCCATTTCTGCATACTATTTTATAGCAACACACAGAAAACCTATTGGAGTGCACAACTAAATAGTGGGAACCATTACCTCTGTCCAATACTGTTGTTTGGTTTCTGTATCCATCTGTGCAAAGCCTCCTAAGACAAGAGCCTTCATCAGTGTCCTCTGCACAGGACTAGACAGGAAATTAAGAGGTGGGCTTCGGCTTGCAAACTGTTTAGCTAGGTTCCACCAATTTTCACACTGAATTACTAAGTTTGCCCTACAGGGAGAAATAACAAAACAAAACATGTATTGTTTTCACTGTCTGTAAATATACTTAGAAAAAAAATATTTAAAGATAATAAATATTTATTTATTGCTCTGTTGCCCAGGCTGGTCTCAAACTCTTGAGTGCAAGCGATCCTTCCATCTTAACCCCTGGGTAGCTGGGGCAGTAGGCACCTGCCACCACATCTGACTGGATTTAGTTAGCTTTCATAACTTAGTACAATAAACAAAGTATACACTCGGGTCACACAGATTTACATACAAACTTCATTAGTCATTGAACAATGTATAATGAATTATCTTTTGTTTAATATTTCTTGATCATCAGCTTTCCAATCTGCAAAAAGGGGTAACAACAGTTATAATAGGCCTAAATCCCATGCCTGAGACAGATATAATGATGAAATAAGATGCTATTTGTGAAATGCTTAGTGCTCAGTAAATTATAAGAATTCAATAAGTAATAGTCAAAGGCAGCAATAGTAGCAATAGTAAAGGCTGTATTTCCTACACAGCCAGAAGAATGAAAACATTTCCACAATCTGCTATAGAAAGCATTAAAAATTTTACTGTGTAACAATTTTAAGTATCAGATGAGAGGACCACCCGTATGGGGGGCCCCCCTCCTGTCCCTCTCTCAGACAGGAGGTTTCTTTCCCTCAATAAATACATTCTGTTCATAAACTCCACAAAAAAAAAAAAGGTATCAGATCCTCATCTTTAAGATGTGGCGAGGGCTGGGGAGATGGCTCAGTAGAATAAGCGCTTACCTGGCAAGCACAAGGGCCTGAGTTCAATCCCCGGTTCCGCCAAAAAAAAAAAAAAGATGTGGATAATGCTAACAGAATAACTAAAAAAATAAAATAAAATAATATTCTGGGCCGAGGAGATGGCCCAGTGGAATAAGCACTTCCCTGGCAAGCGCGAGGGGCTGAGTTCAATCCCTGGTTCCACCAAAAAAAAAAAAAAAATAATAATAATATTCTACATGAAGGGCTGGGGATATAGCCCAGCAGCACAGTATCTGCCTGGCAAGCACAAAGTTGCAAGATCCTGAGTTCGATTCTTGGTAGAAAGAAAGAAAGAAAACACAGCTATACAAAAATATTCTACTTGTGTTTTTATAATCACAGATTATTAAATAAAATTTATGCATTTCTCATAAAGGTCTTTACTGCTGAATCCATGAATAATCAATGTAATCCTCCCTTGTAAAATGGGAATGCCCATTTGCATTTGTAACAACTTTAAAACTATTTTAAAACAATAGTTTTAATAACACACTACTCCAAAAACGCAGAGTAAATCTAGACTCAAATTGTGTGATCATTCACCAGGTGAAAAGACTATGCTAAAAAAACAATTTCCTCTCTCCTACCCAACCTTCCTTCCTCCCTCCAACAATGGACTTACCTTTCTCTTCTTTCCACCAAAGTGACAAGGAGCTGCACAGTATCATTTGCAAGGTCCTGCTCACTACTCCAGACTGAGAGGTTACTGATGACTTTCTGTAAGAGGTAGCCAATAATCCACTGAGAACCTTCTGTATCTGCTCCAAATGCCGTACTGAATGGCAGACTTATCTTAAGAGTGAAAACGAATTTTGTTAAGGTTAAGAAAAAAAAAAAATCAGCTGAGAAAATAATAGTGAAATAATGAAAAATCATAGTGGCATTGGTATCTAAAATCTGAAGTAGTTCCTACTTGTATAAACAATTCATTTCTTTTTTTTTATTATTATGTATTTGGTACAGGGTCTCACTAAGTGGCTCAGACTCAGTGATCCTCCTGTTTTTTGCCTACCCAGTGCTGGGATTAGGCATGTGCCACCATGCTTGGTCTCAGTGGCTGGCTCAGGGCATCTGGGGGTGGGGTTGGCACAGCATGTGGTAGTGGGGATCAAATCCAGTCCCTGTGCTTGCCAAGCAGGCACTTAATCTAACACTGAGCTAACTTGTCGGCCCTGATTCATTTCTTTTTTTTTTTTTTTTGGCGGAACCGGGGATTGAACTCAGGCCCTTGTGCTTGCCAGGGAAGCACTTATTCCACTGAGCCATCTCCCCGGCGCCCCCCGATTCATTTCTATAAGTTCAAAATATCCTCAATGCACTCATGTGTTCTGTCTTTTCTGACAACTTCATCCTCACATTAACACACTAACATGATATTAAACCAAATACAAAGAACATATTAATCTATTATCAAAAGGCAATTTGTATCTTAATACTGGTTAAAATAGAAAAATCTAAAAATGTACTTTAAGAAAAATTATAAATTAACATTTTGGCCTTCATTCCTTTAAAGCAGATAATTCCATTTTGAAGAAAAATATAAATAGGAAAAATGTTCCTACTTCAATAATTGCCAACATCATAAATCCAAAAAATGTTTAACATTTTTACATTCTTTTTTTTCCCCCACATGTGGGTTTGGTTTATTTCACTTATATCTTCAAGTGGCATCCACTTAAATGTGAAGGCTTCGAGTTTATCATTCTTTATAGCTGTGTAATACTCCATAATATAAAAGTATCACATCTTTTTCAACCATTCCACATGTGATGGGCATCTTGGTTGTTTCCAAGACCTGGCTATCACAAATTGTGCTGCTATAAACATAGGTACGCATATATCATTATGATATGACCCTTTCAGTTCCTCTGGGAAAATTCCCAGTACGGGGATAGCAGGCTTGAATGGAATTTCCAATCCTAGTTTTTTAAGGAGTCTCCACACTGATTGCCATAATGGTTGCACCAGTCTATACTCCCACCAAGGGGAGAAGGGTTCCCTTTTCCCCACAGCCTCTCCAACATTTGTTGTTGGGTGATTTCTTTGTGATAGTCATTCTGGGGTGAACATTTTTACATTCTGACCTGATCATATAGTTTTTCATCCACAAGGAGATAAGTCTTGGCCCAGCGTTTCAGAAACCAAACAATATCTTTGCCCATTTGAGGGCTTAGTAGATGAGTAAGATCTGCTCTTATTGCTCGAGATTCAACTTCTGAAACTCTTAAAACAGCAGATAACAGCCTGTAGGTATAAAACAGAAGTCATTCTGATTTAGTGATTGCCTACCCATATATACAGATATAATCCCCCCCCCCCACTCCTACACCCTGAAGTCCTTTTCTGTTTATCAATTTTCTGGAGTTAGACCAGTTAAACTTGAAATTTTCATCAACAGGATTATAAACAAATGGGTCACATGATTTTTGGTCTTTCACAAAAGAGAAGATAAAACAAAGGAAGAGAGAGAGTTAATGCTAGAAAGTACTTTCCATTGAAGTTGCAGCTACAAGTGTAAATCTCAGTATTACTATCTAAGGAGAATTTTCATATTGAAAAAGAAATCCATAGTCTTCAACATTCATAGTACATGCCAAATTATTTCAGCATTCCATCATTATTTAAAACTCTCTTTGGTAGGCACAGTCTATCATTTTGTATCATAAAACTTAAGATGTTATGAGGTATGATCTGTGAACCAAATTATCTAGCATGTTTTGAGAAATGAAGCTTATGTCCAAATCTGATAGCCCTACTTAATTCCTACTAAATGTGATTCCTAGTATTTTTCTGAAAAATCTTGCTGAAAAGATTACCTCCCTAAATGAACATATTATCTTTTCATACACTCTAATTTATATGACCATGTGGCATCAATAACATAACAGGACATGGGTAAATAAAAACATCTCTGCCTTAGAAGTGGGAAGCACACAGTCTGATAGACACAGACAGACAGACAGACAGAAATAGACATTTGACTTTGCCAATAGACAAAGAAGCAGAAGATATAAAGAAAGAACCCGTTATAACACCATTTAACATATCCTCAGTGCTGAGACTAGGATTCTAAGGGGCGTTTGGCCTCCGCTCCTTTTCCCACCCACCTTAGGAAGACTGAAATCTCCTTGTCATGAAATCAGGTAGGCATGTTTCAGTTTTTTATTTAGTTCTGATGTCTCAGAAGTCCTCTGTGCTGCTGACCACTCTGTCCTAAGGACACCATGCATCCCTGGCACACATTCCGCCCATCACACCCACATCTGTCTGCTTACTTTTCCTGTTCCTTGTGGCAGCCTTCTCTTCTGACATTTGAGACTGGAGGTTTTTAAGGTTCTACCCCAGGACTTCTCACTATCCACTCAGATCTTAGAACACCAGTGCTCAGGCTTTCAAAATTTATTTTAGGAAATATGTGAACAATATATCCCCTAATGATCAGACATTTTAAGTGAATGTACCAGATTTCCCCTATAAGATTAATTTTAGATATCATTTCCAGCCTACCAGATTTTGAAGTAAAATGGTTAAATTAATACACAGCAATTCAGTCATTATACTGCTGACAGCCACTATCATCCATACAAAAATGTAAACAGGGGTTGGGGCAGCTTAGGTGCCTGCCTACCTGGCAAGCATAAGGTCTGAGTATGATCCCCACAAAAATATAAACAAGCATTTACTTCAATTTCACTTTTCCATATATTTTCTTAATATATTTATTAATATATTTAATGTAATGAAAGTTACATTACATTCTATAATACAAATGTCTGTATATTAAAAGATAATGTTTTAAGAATTCCAGATGATTATTGGACTGTAAGCATTTAAAAATTTTTTCTAGATTGAAAATCATTGTATATTAAAAATAGATGAGGGCCGGGGAGATGGCTCAGTGGAATAAGTGCTTCCTTGGCAAGCTCAAGGGCCTGAGTTCAATCCCCGGTTCCGCCAAAAAAAGAAAAAACAAAAAAGCCTCCACCAGACAACCACAGGTCTGTAACGACAGGACAGAGCAGTCAGCTGTAGACATTAAAAAAGAAAAAAGAAAAAAAAATGACAAAATTAAATTCTGAAACACAAGATAAAACATTGTGCATCGTAAGACTAACGTAGCAAGACTTTTTCCCAATTTGTTCATAATGTGCTCACTTTGGCAGCACATATACCAATTCATGCATATCTGTGGCTAAATATTTTACTGTCAGAATGAGCCAAAGTTGAACGTAATTCCTATTCTTCACAGATACAAATACTGAAAAACTTGTTCACATAAATAGAAGGTATTCTTACAACAGCAAGGTCTCCCAATTACTTGAATTTCTTCCAAATTATATGGCAAAAATCACAGGGCTCTACTATGAAAAATTAGTTTGAATAATCCCTGAGTTGGTATTAGACTGGGTCCTGCTCAGTGTTATTTGATGCAAAGGCCCAAATCTCCTGACTAGCTGCATGCTCTGGCCCTCCATCAATCAACACTACACCGTGAGGAGCTGCCCTTTGACTCTGCACTCTATAGGCTCCTATACAAGTGTCAATTCACACAGCAAGCTGTAGAATGAGTGAGTACTTCAGCTTTTTATCAAATGGAAGAAAGATGAACAAAGGGAACAGCCTGGGCCATGAGGAGAAAGTCACAGGGGAGCCTTGAGGGAGTTCTTCATCATCTGTTCCCCACCCCCCGCCCGTTTTGTTCTTTCTACCATGTTCAACAATCAGCAAAGGCCTGGAGAGCTCTCTCAGATGCACCTCTCAAACCCAAGGGTTTCTATCTTTGCTTTAAGACTATTAATGAAACGTTTTCCAACTTGCCTTTAAAGTCTATCTTCCATAGAGAAATATCTCTAAAACAACTGAGTCAGTTTATCTTACCACAAGTCCTTCCCCTCATTTCCATCCCTACCTCATGAGCTCCACTCACAACACCCTACCCCCATCTCACCTACAGTGAAGAGCACCCTCCCCCGCACAACCAATAGTCACATCAAGCTTACAAATCCCATCTCTCCTCCTTTCAATGGATATTTTGAACTTCCTCTCCTCCTTCAAGTACAAATTTAAACGAAAACCATCTCTTCTAAGAAATCCTCTCCAAAACCTCTTCTACCAGTAGGTGAGCCTAGGATACCTCTATACCACTTTTCTTTTATCCTCAGATCTTAGCACAAAAGAGAGCTGAAGAAAAAAATGATCAAAATTTAAATTTTTTATATTCTAAGGATTAACTGTTCAATCCTACACAACTTCTTAAATATGTGATCTAAAAACACTTTATATCCTAGACAGCAATTAGGTTCCCAAATTAATCCTAGATTACATTTACATTTGGTAAATCAAAAGATGACACAACAAACCAAACAGCACTTTCTTTAGCTTCTCATGAGCTTTATTCCTATAACTCTAGCCTGGAGTGATGGCATTCCATCTTTCTTCTGGATCCAATGCATTATGCTAACATTTTTAACATATAAGTTCCTCTTCTGCTCAAAACCCTATGATACAGCATGCCATGGCATGAAAGCCAAAGATGTTACAAAGCCCTGAAACTATCTGATTTTCCTCTTTCCCAAACTCCACTTCTTATAAAATTCTCCTCACTCTGCTTAGCTCCCAAAGTATTTCTACTGTTTCTTGCACATGCCAGGTATGCCCAGGGCCTCTGCATTACCAGGTACTCTGCTTGGAATGTCATCCCTCCCTATGAAAGGAACACCTTCAGGGTTCTCTTACCAACCTATCTATACACTCAAAAGTCACCAACTGAATAAAGCCCCAGGGATCACCCTATTTAAAAACTACTATAATCCCTGAAGTCTATGCTGATCCGACTACCTCTCTTGGTTTTTATTCACAGCATTTACCACCTGTTAACATACCCCATGATTAATTTACTGGTCATCTCTTCCCTTATGAGGAACTGATTTTGCTAGCTCTGCTCACTGGTATATGCCAAGCAGCCATCAATTAAGAGGACTCAAGGCCTGAACCAAGCATCTAAACCCATGCCCAGTACTCAGTAAGTACTCAATAACTGCTCCTTAAATGACAACTACTACAAGAAATGCAAACTACTTTCTCAGGCAAATAAAGAACATTTCTCCAAAAAGCCAATTTCATACTATTCACTGAATTTTTAAAAATTGTAAACTTTTTTGGCCCCAACTTGTACTCTCAGATATGCAAAGGCCTTCCTTCCATATCTGATACCTCCAAATGGAAGAAACTGAAAAAGCAATTAAAATACAAGGAAAACACTCCTAATGCAACTAGCCAGGTAAGAAATATGACAATATAAAATACTGTTATTATCTTTTTTATTTTGTTTGAGAGAGGGTCTCATTATGGAGTTCAGGCTGGCCTTGAGCTTACTCTGTAGCTCAAGCTGGTCTCAACCCCACAACAATCCACCTGCCTCAGCCTCCCAAGATCTGGGGTCAAAGGAATGTGCCACAATGCCCAATGACAACATACAATATGACAGCACCTAAAATGAATTGTCTTTGTAATTAACATCAACCACCAAATAAAATAGGACAAAAGCACTGATTTCTATAGACCTTAAATCAAGTGACTATAGTAATCCCAAGAGAAAGACTTAAAACTTTTCCAATTAAGTATTGACATTTTATTTCAACAAGAGAATATAAGTACCAATGAAGGAAATAAATCCCCAAATATATCATTGGTTTCAGTTTATCTCAACTTGTAAAAGATCTTATTTTCTGTTGCCTGGGTTTAAGTGATGTTCATATAGCTTTGCATACAAAAAGAATAAAGGGGTAGCACACTGAGTTACTGATCTTTCAATGGACAAAAACATTATCATTACTGGCTACAACCTAAATTTCACTCAATCAAAATTTACTGAAAGGACACTAAAATTTTAAATCTACTTCTAGAATCAGATGTAGTCCAGATTTGCCCATCTAACTGCACTAAGAGATAATGAAAATTCTGCCATTGCCATTAGTGATTCCTCTCATTCGAGGCACTCTGCTGCTTTGTGAGTGCCTCCGACAGGGCTCTGAAGATTCACATACACAAGATTTTTCTTTTTTTTTGCGGAACCGGGGATTGAACTCAGGCCCTTGCACTTATTCTACTGAGCCATCTCCCCAGCTCCAATATTTTCATTTTATAAAATAAAAATTATGGCTTTGTTAAGAAAACCATTGAAAGTTTCAGCTTTCATGAAAAATAAATGCTTGCTAATATTCATCTGGTTTCTAACAATCTTAAATTCTTTTTTTTTTTTTTTTTTGCTTATTAAAGCTGTCTGTACCACTTTCTGATAAACAAGAGCTGTGTTGTAGGTTAGACTGAACCTCCCTTTGGAATCTCATACTTAGCATAACTTTATACTTGTTTTCTTTAGTACTGGCTAGTCAATCCCCGCTCAGGTAGTGCTGCTGAAACATACTGAGTACTGAAAGCTTGACATCCTTGTGTACTGCAAGGGTTCTCCAACTTTTCTTTCCCTCATATGCTAGGTGTACAGAGTGCCTGTCTGTCCAGTCATCTACCCATCAACTCAGAATTTTCAAACAGTATAAATTACAAGAGTACAGCTATAGAGTTCATATTACCTAATCACAGAATCTGTTCTGTTGTACCCTGGGATGGAAGAAGCTTTTTCTCCTGGAGATCCCAAAATTTGAAGTGTTGTATTAATGTCAACTTCAGATGAATGCTTAATGGAATATTCCATTATTTCTGGAGGTATTAGCGGAGTCTCTCCCTGAGTATCATCAGCTAAGAGGTAGCCTTCAGTTTAAAAAAAATTAAAAACGAACACTTAAACAAATCTATATTTACCAATTTGTACTATAAATGTTTTCAATTTTATTTGTTTTATATACATCACATAAACTGATGTAGAGGTAAATTATAAACGTTAGTCTGTTAATTTCAAGTTGATGAGAAAAAATTTTCCACTTCTAAATAATTAATTTCAAAATTACAGCAAAAGACAAGTGTTTTACTCATCAGTTTTATAATTCATACTGACATGTTGGCTATTTAATAATTTTCAGTAATATACTTTAATTGAATAGGAGCTCTGCTATTATCGTTATAAGAAATAAATACTGAAGAATATTTTTCCAAAAGTCAAGATATTTTCTGATTATTTAAGATATAGAAACACTAATAGTATGGCTGCTTGGGAAGAAGACCTAAAAAGTCAGACTACCTAGATTTGCATTCTGGCTCTAAACAGTAAATAGCTGTGTGACCACAGGTTAGTTTCTTTTACTTTCACCTTCTTATGCTGGGTGGGGATGATGATGATAACTATAGCAGTAACTAACAATACTAATTCAGGGAGCTATTATGAGACCTACATAAAACACCTGGTGTACAATCACTGAGTACATGCGAGCCAGTTATTTTTTAAAAAATGCATTCATAGCTTTGTGGTAGAAAATAGTTATGTTCTAATGTCATCCAGTATACTATATAAGCTACTGATTTTATTATATTAAGCTTCTAAATTTTAGAGCTTAACTTTTTGCTGGCAACATTAAAAAAAAAAAAGTAACCAACCTGTAACTAAAATAAGCCAGTGAATGTCTTCATAAAGATCATCAAGCATTTTGTTGTCAATGGTACTTGAACCAGGTGAAGCAAGTAATTGTTGCTGATGTCGCTGTAACTGACCATGGAGTCTTGTTACTCTTTCTTCTAATAAGCTAAAAGAAGATAACAAAATAAAACAAAACACAATATTGAGTTTAATATGTAAAGACCTAGAACAACTTGTAACTTCCATATACTAGACAACATAAATCAAGATGTTAGCATAAAAATACATATACAAAACACTATAATACACAATTATTATTACAACACTATAGGAATTGTGATTTACTGTTTATGACACAGAATTAGACAATGCTTTAAGTGCTTTACAAACAATTAAGGTTTACAACAGGCATTTGAAAACTGGTTATTCCAAATTTTATTGATATGGGTCAAATCATTTCTCATACCATGTTTTCCATAATCTTTCTGCCATCTATGTTGTAGTGCCTGGGCTCCAAATGTATAAGTCAAAGAATGCAATCATGAGTATGTTTCTGTCCATTTGGTCCAGTGTGCTGGGATACGGGGCGGGGGTGTTTAAAGTCTTTAAACACTTTAAGTGCTCTCCAGGGAATTGTGAATAGAGAATATTTGCTCCATGGGGTTTCTTTGGACTGTGTGTACCTTGTCAGAAGAGGTATACAGTGTTCTGCAGCAATTCTTCCTAGCATTCCTACACTGGCTAGCTGATCAGAAAACTGGTCTCGGTCATCTTCTTGAAGTTCACTTATTTCTTCTTCCTCACGAGAGGCCACACCATTGGCAGTCTATTATAGGCAAAAGAAACAGTGACAAACTGCATGGACGGTCTTCTTCAGTAAGATAAAATTTCTGTGGCCCTGTAAAATAGCTTTAGTACTAGAAATGGAAAGGTGAGCTGGTCAGAGCTAATCTTCAGTCTAGGGACTCCTTTCTTACCATACCAATAGCACTAGTGGTCACCAAAAGGAGGAAACACAAAAGAAAAAGGAAGTACAACTTTCATTTCCTATTGCATGCAGTAAGCATAGATAATTACACTTACAACCCACCTCCCATACCAGTTATTTTCTGTGTTACTAAATGGTCTGCTATCTTTTACATGTCTCTAACTGATGTGCTATCCTGGTCTTTTTAAAGCCATTCATTAGCAGAGGATAACTAGCAAAACAGAGGCAGGCACTTCAAACAGGAAAAAAGGTGACTACAACAAGAGCTCATTTAGAAAACAAAGTTCACTTTTTTTTTTTTTTTTTTTTTGGCAGAACCAGGGATTGAACTCAGGCCCGTGCACTTGCCACGGAAGCGCTTATTCCACTGAGCCATATCCCTGGTCCCACAAGGTTCACTTTTGCTCTCAACAAATCTCTTTATCTTTTGAGGGAGCACATTTTAAACTTCTGGCATTAATAATGTCTAATACTATGAATATAGCCTCTGGTGACTTTTATTACCAGCTGACTTACAACTTACCAAGTTCCGCGTGCCATCTGGAGCAGCTAGGTGGCACTGGATATAGGAATTAAAAACTTGAACTGCATGTTGAGTAAAAAAGCCTTTATGGAAGTGTTTATCATCTTGGACCAACGTTAGCCAGGACTCCAGCAATTTATCATATGCTTCCATGTATACCATGTCATCTTTATCAAGCTAAAAGAAAAGAACATTCATAAAACAAAGATTCCATTCCTAAGCTGACACCTTAGAAAAACTTTCAAAAAGGCAGAGCACCTGCCTAACACTTGTGAGGACTTGGGTTCAATCTCTACCTAGCACTGAAGGGCGAGGTGGGGAAAGCAGAATGTTACTGGAAATATGTAGAACAATGTACTAGCAGTACTACATAATGCAAAAGAGGGAAGCTCAAGAGGTCATTTAGAGGAGAACAGAAAAACAATCTGTCATACTTTATAGGCACACATATGATTAAAAAAAGTACAGCAAGGGAATGATAAACTTCAAAACTATGATCATCTCTGTTGCAAGGAGTGGGATAAGGTAGCAGCAAGATGGAACTGGCATAAAGAACACATAATATCAACTAGATACCAGTAATGCTCCTGAGTCAGATCATAGGCTCACACATTGCATTTTACTTGTTTTAGAACCACACATATAATTATTTATAAAATGTAGTATCATAAAACTATTGATAGTAGTTTTGAAGGTAAAAGACAGTATATAAAGTGATCAATGAAACTGCTAAAATGTCTAATCACAGTGCTCAATTTATTATTAGTATCAAAAGGTGGTTTTATTCATTAAGCAAAACATTAAATGCTAAGATCTAAGTACTGGGAATACAGAGATAAATAAGATACTTTCTTCCCATAAAACATCAGTGCCTGTTTATATGTACTTTACAAAGCATATGCTTCACAGACATCATTGGTTAGTGCTAAAATTTATCTTGCCAAAACAAACAGACTAGTAATATATCTTAAAAGAACATGGAAAAAGCATCTTTTGATCTGTAGCCTCAAAAGGGGAAAAAAAAGCAGGACATTTTCTAAGATCTATCTTCATCGAGTTTTAGAATCTAAGTCATACGTGTTCTCACAGCTAATTCATATATAGAAAATTATAAATAAAATGTAAAAGTCTGTTCATAAAAAGTCTTATAAATTTTTTTTATTGTTCAAAGAACTCCCAAAAACCCTTTCTACTGAACCCTGGTATTGGACAAAACAGACCACAGGAAGAATCTAAGCAGCCCTACATACTGAACAAGGATTTAAATAAAAACTATAGATTTCTCTATAAAAAAAATCTTTCTGGACATCAATCCAAGTAACTCATTAGACAAAGTGTGAGAGATCTGGTTGATGACAATTGGCTATTAAATCTTCTAATCACAGAGGACTGAAACCTAACCTAGTGCTTTTTCATAATACCTTGGCCCTGCTCCATGACTACCCTGCCAAAACCCAGCAGTCAAGCCAGCAGCACGTGCACAGAAATGACTAAGGAGACCAAGCTAGAGACTATGTGCTCATAGCCTGGCTATGGTCAGGCCTGCTGCCAGTGAGGCTTTGGAGAGGGGCTTAGAGCTTATGAGACTACTTGACCCCACTTTACTCCATTTGGAAACATAGGGTGGAGAAGGTAAACAAAATATATCAGCACTTCTCTCTCAATGTCCATAATTGGCTTAAAAGTACTTAGAGTAGTGAATTCACAGGCCATCAGACAGAGGTAAAAATCTGCCTGTTTTGTTGAACACATAATTTGAAAATACAGTAGTGGCTAATTTTTTTGTGAAAATGCTATCATAGCTTTGCAAAGAAAAAATTTCCATTTTATGAATGTCTCTCTTTTGACATGGAACTGAATTTCAGAGATTAATGCTATATATGCTTCCAACTATGTGAAGTTGAGATTTTCAAGGCTAGTGAAAATATTCTTGAATAATACTATATGGGGGTGGGGGTGGCGCAGGGCAGACATCACAGGTTTAAACCCAGACTTTATCTGAAGAATGAGCTATAATGGAAACAATGCCTGTTAGGTAGGTGATAGTGACTCCCTCAGCTGTAAAAACGTACCACACCACTGTGAGATACTGACCGGGGAGACAAGAAGGAAAGAGGTTGTGCACATTCCATAGGGTATAGAAATTCTGTACCTTGAATTTCTATTTTGTTTTGTTTTGAGACAAGGTCTCCCTATGTAGTTCAGACTGGCCTTGAACTCACTATGTAGCCCAGGCTGGCATGAAACTCACAGCATTCCTCCTGCCTCAACCTCCCAAGTGCTGGAGTTATAGGTGTGCATCACCCTGCCTGGCTTCACTCAGTTTCTTGCTGTGAATCTAAAACTGAACTAAAATATAGTATATTTATATTTGCATATGTCTATAGTATATTTATAAATGTAGTATCAAGATACATTTATAAAAAGATAAATCTCATATGAGGGTAGTTATAAATTTGGTGATTGTACTGTAAACAACTCCAAATCTATGCCTAATAATGAGAGTACTACAGTTACTAGTAGACATTTGCTATAATCTATCCCCATACAATGCATTTTTTTCTGTGAATAGCAATTAACACTTTTTTTTCCATAAAATTAGAATGATGGATTTCATATTTCGTCTAAACCTGCTGCTATATTATTCTTTACAACAATTTATGTGTGAGAACAGATTGAACTGTAAGAGACTACAGAGGCTGAAACAAAGTACCAACAACACTGGGCAGAAAGTTCACTACGAGCATCCACTTGCAGGCCTAAAAGGAGTTATGCAACTAAAATCTGATTATAATAACAGAAAGAAAAACAAAAACACCAGGTAAATGAGAACAGATAACAGTATCAATGTACTTTTTCTTAATTTGGGTGGTTGATACAAGGTTGTTCATTCTATTATTCTTTATACTGGAAGAAGGAAATATTTCACAATAATTTAATATTTATAAGCTGAAGCTTAGTGACATATCACAATTAATATTTGCACTGCACAAGGACACATGAAAGATTAAAGACTGAAAGCCATACTGACTTAAGCTATTATTCATCTGCTGTAAGTATACAGATTTCCTACTATAATAGTGTCATTTAAGGTATATATAGCAATCATACACAAAAAATGTCAGAAAAGTTATAAATTTTATATGCTCCATTTCAGAAAGTAAGAATTTAGCTGAGTGCAGTGGTACAATACTGCAACACCAGCACTCTGGAGATTGAGGCTATAGGAACAGAAGTTGAAATCTTACCTAGATAATTTAGCAATACACTGTCTCAAAATTTAAAAAAAAAAAAGGCAGAGTAGCTTAATACGAACACCCTGGGTTCAGGCCCTAGTACTGGGATGTGAGCTAGGGGTAGAATCTAGGAATCTTTCTTAAGTGCAGAAGAAATTAATTAAGATATATAATATCCTCCCCTAGCTAGCCCTTAAAACACAGAATTAACTTCAGAGTACCTATCCAGCTGATAGTATTCCTGGCTTCTGAGATCCCCCAAGAGAAACTGATTTAGTAGATAAGTACTGCAGCTGTTAGAAGAATCCTATACATAGTTCACTTGAGGAGGAGGTTGCGTGGAGATGGGGCTCATTGCTAGTGTGTCTGCCTGGCATTAATGAGGCACTGGGCTTAACTCCCTGCCAGGCAAAAGCAAACCCCCAAACAAACAATTCCCACCACACACATACACATACACATACACACACACACACACACACACACACACACACACACACACAAAAACACTAAGAATCTAGGCTGTAATTTATAGAATTAAATGTTGTGCTCTGTATTAACATACTTTTGTACACATTTTTGAAAGGAAGAATTTCCAAATTCTTAATGCAAAGAAAAACACACATATTAGACATCATATCTGGCACATACATCTGGGGATTCACTGCATATTTACATAACTGAATTAGTGCAGTAGTATCCCTGGTGGGCTGGCATCTCAAGGATGCCTCTGGCTTACCTTTTTTCTTTCTTTCTTTCTTTTTTTTCTTTTTTTTTTTTTTTTTTGTGGAACCAGGGATTGAACTCACGCCCTTGCGCTTGCCAGGGAAGCGCTTATTCCACTGAGCTATCTCCCTGGCCCCTGGCTTACCTTTTTTCTAAATATCTGTATAGTTACTGTTATTAAAAAGTACACTGTATTTTTCATTGTGCAATGTTTTAAAAAATATTTATTACCTCATCTCCCTTTTTTTCTTACCCCATCTTAGCCAGTAAAATGTACGCATAGCACAGATGAGCAGGCTGGCAGCATTTTGCTCTTGGCAGTGTCATCAGGTATTCCTGCCTATGTACTAGAACTGCTGAAGAGACCCTCCCTTCCACTAGAAAAGGAGCAAATGACACCAGCTACGCTTAGCTGACACCACCACTGTCTTTCCTGTTATCACTTAGATAACCCAAAACTTCTGCTGCCAGCTTCTCAATCTGGAATTTGCTTCCAATATATTCCTTTTCACTACACTTCTTTCTTCACAAAGTAATCATTCAGTAAACAAGAGGAACTCCTCTTTCAGATTTTGAATCAAGAATGCTAATCCTTAAATGACTTCACCAGGTAAATCACCAAATTATGTTAGTGCATGTCACACTAATGAACATCCTGATGACTTATCAACACCTCTGTTTACCTCCTGGTCCTGCTGATTTAGAGATTAAGCTGCAAAAAGACTGAATTAAAATGTAAAATTCTTCCTTTATAAAGTACATCTCATGTGCATGCATACACATCAAATTACAAATACAGGGGCTGGTGAGATGGCTCAGTGGTCTAAAGCACCTACTTAGAACAAGCTTAGCAAAGCACAGGGACCGCAGTTCAATCCCCCAGCACCACATACCAGCCAGCCCTGCCCCTGGGTGGGCTGAGTTGGCCACACACACACACACACACACACACAAATAAAATTAAAAAAAAAAAAAAACAAATATATCACTGTCAGGATAGCTACTCTATCTGTGTAACTGCATGGTCTCTGTGATCCTATTTGTGGGCTAAATGACAAATTTGCTGCTATCCAAAAAATTCAAGAAACAAACTAGAATAGAGAGCTCAAGTCATAGTTTTCTCAAATCCCACTACACTAATTCAAAACATACATTAATGTATTAAAATATTTTGAGTTGATATACTAACATTAATTATTGAGATTTTAATCTTTAAAGCAACATTTCATCTCTATATTCTCACTTTTTCAATCCAGTAATGGACAGAAATTAAACTTTAGAAGTATAATGAAAATTTTTAGCCTTAATAAAAATTCTCAGTCAGTAAACTCTGACAACAGCTACAGAACTTGGCAGAAAACTGCACCGCTGTCTTGACTCTCAATTCACTACACATAAAAGGGTAGTCATAAATAAATCTCTTCACACACAAAGACAAAAAACTTATTAATCTAGAACTTCATATACCAAAAGATACACACTGGTATATCAAGAATTTTTCTTACTATAAAGATGCCCCCTGCAATACCAATATTATCACCATCAAAGACATGAATTGCTCAGACTCTATTATAGTCTCCTAAACAAATACAGCTCTCAAAAGTGTTATCCCAAAGGAATTTTTTATGTAGAATCTATACTCTTACTGGGAAAATAAACTTCAATATTAAAGAAAAGCATTTTCTAACATTAAAATTGTAAAACCTTTTAAAACTGAAATTAGAAAAAGATCACTGGTCTGCAAAAAACAAAACCCAATAATCCTAGGTGGTAAGATAGTACATACAAACAAGCTGACAGTCAATGCTATCATAAAGGTTCATTTTAAAATTTATTCTAATTTTATTATGCATAATACAGAAGTACTTTCATATAGTTCATGCCATAAAACATCAGAAGAAATTATTATCCTAACTTTACCAAGGAAGACGCATATTCAAAAAAAAGTGAAGCAGTTTGCCCAAGCTCCTACACTATGAAATACTCAGCCTATGACTGTACTGTCACAGTTCATGATCTTTCTACATAATGTTGAGCCCCAAGCTTTTTTTATATGCCTTGAATTTTCAAGGCCTACTCCAGTTTAGTTACATTTTGTTCATGAACTTTTGATATTAGCTGTACATGATAAGCTACATAAAAAGAACAACAAAACATTGAGGCTGAAATGACATTTAGGAGGATTTGTTTAGTCTTTATGCAAGTCTTTGGACAGAGTCACCCTCTCAGCTGTCAATGTCACCAAACCACCCTAATGTCATTTCTTCAACAAACTCAAAGCCTCAGACAAATTTGTTTCCCTCTGCCCTTCACTATAAATGGCCAATTATTTTTAAAACGAACAATTTTCTTAAGGGACACTTACTAGATATATCATAATAGGTATACATTACATACAAAAGTAGAACTTATGGTTTCTCTATTATTTGTGAAATAAGTGCAAGATATATCTGCTTCTCTGAAAACATACCCAAGGCTTTTTATATTTCAAGGCTCTTATGTCAAACATTAGAGCCTCCTGGTCAAAATAAACAAATTCAAATTTAAAATTCGTAAACCAAGATTGTCATTTATCTTACATCTTTTAGTAATTCTTTTTTTTAACACATTTAGGAACATGCTTACCCACAAAAAGAAATAAAAAGCTATATTTCTAACATGTAATCAATATGCTAAATCTTTAATCTATCTGGCTTAAAAGAGGAAAATAAAGCAGTAAAGGGAAAGTGCAATGGGACCGTTTTAAATGAAATCTGACTGCTCAGATCTGCGATCATTTGAAAGGAATCTTGAGTAAAGCTTAAATATTTACTTTTCCATGCATTTCTATGTTTAGAACATAAATTTCCTTCCTGAGAAATTGAAATCCCACACATGATGCTTTAAAACATATCCCTCTATTACATATATTTTTTCCATCACATAAATCCCTGCCTAACCAGGTTCCTTTCCTCTCAACAAATCAGCAAAGTGACCAATTACCTAAAGGCAATCAGTTTGCGCTCTTTACTCTTGGAACACATTTGAAGGAAGAGGAAACACTGATACTAGCTGTCAGACCCCTACTGAAACAACACAAGATTTCACACAAAATTCTAATAGATACCTACAAATACAATTTTTACTCTTACAATCTTTTATAAAAAAATCCACATTTTGGTTCATAAAAGGAAAGACTAGTTTCACAATTTAATGACTACTTAACAGAAAAAATTATTTTCCATGATTAACAGTTATTTACAATAGCTATTACAAAAGCAGCTGTATTGCCAAGAGATTTTAGTATGCTTTCTAAATTTAAATACAAAATTTACAAAATATCTAAAAATTTATACCGAAAAACAAAGTGTTAATAGTCTAGTGTTAACAGTCTTTCAATGTAAAATAGATTTTACTAAAGTGGGACACTATTAAACCTTGCTACTAAAAACCTTAAAGCATGGTCTAAGCAAAACAAGCATCACTTCAATGATTTGAACTAAATTATGCTTAATTTCCAAATAAATATATTTTTAAATATCTCAAAGTATGTATTAGTATACATACATACATCATATGAGAAAGCTAGTAGCACCTGATTTTTTTAAATACTATAAAAAGTTTTTAATAGGAGCACCTCATTCCAATTATCTCAAAATTAAAATCTTGAGACCAATAAATATCATCTACTAAACTGATTTGAATCCGCAAATTTTTAAAGGTCATGTTTCCAAATACATATTGCCAACTGAACTACACATATAAACAAAACAGTGACTTTAAGTAGAGCTACTTGCATTTACTTTAAAATAATTACATCGTAAGAAAATGTTCCAAACATAGCATAAATTTCCCTGTGAAAAGCTGATACAACTTATTTTAAAAGTCACTTACCACTTCTTCCAGTGCAGCACTTCGCCCAAAAGAACAAGTGAGGTGTGTGAGGCAGTTAACAAAGGAGGAGAAAAGTTCACTAGGAATGGCAGTTAAAACATTTCGAGGGAACACGGTTATCAGGTTGCTGATAATGCTGGAGATTCCCACAGCTTCAGAATCTTCAATTTCAATTCTACAAATCAAATAATGAGGATTATTAAGAAAATTACAACTCATTTCCAAACAAGCAAGGTATGTTCTCTGCATATTGATTTCAAATTAGCCATACTACTTTACTTCAAAATATAGAACGGGGGGGAAATCACTCATTTTATTTTTCCTACTCTGTTATATATAGGAAAAACCAGAAAGTTCCTCTTTCAGTTATAAAGGGCAAGTATACCTACCCATTGATAGTATTCAGTAACCCCTCAATGAAGTGTGCTAGATAATCAACTTGTGATCCTTCATCGGGGAAGACAGGTCCGTGCAGAGACGCTAACTGGGCAAGGCACTGCAGAGAATCTTGTGCCATATCTGAATCTTCTCTGATTTTTCGATGTACCTGTTAGGAAGAATTACTAATCCATAAAAATAAATTCTTCTTTTGTAAGGGTCACGTGTCTATCATGCCAAATCAGGTAACAGAAAAATCCACTGTAGCTAGTTATTTCTAGAAAATTAATTGTTGAATTTAAACAAACTTGAAAATTGCCCCTCAATCCAGCTGACACTGTAGGCCATGATTTTAAACATATCTATTAATTTTTAACTGAGGGCTACCTACATTTTGAAAGCTGAACTGTCTCCAGCATGTTATGACAAAGAGAGAAACAGATGCCAGCCAGTCAGACATACTGCTTCTTCTAAAAACAGCAACGACGACAGTCATCTGTATTATGCTAACTATGCCTCGCTACAGCGTCTTGCTAAAGTTAGCAGACAAGTTCAATCAGGAGTATATAGATGTTGCCTTAGTGGAAGTAAACAGTTGCACACTTAGAAAACCAATGTATAACTCAAACCCTAGATATTTCTTCATTCAACTACCATACATATGCTTTATTATCAATTTTGAGAATGTGTACAGTTTACATCACATTTTATCATAGATTGCTATTAACATTTAGTTTTAAGTACATATCTTAACTTGCACATAAATCTATTTAAATGCTCATCTAGATAATATTTCAATGATGTAATACTGATGCGAAATACCTGGTTTTTAGTATTTTGTATGAAGGAAATGCTCCAAAAATATTGTTTCCTAACGTGACAGTGTTCTATAGTCACATATTAAAGGCTTTATTTCAGTGATCTGACATGATTAAAAGAGCAGATCAAAGTTCAGAAATTAAATGATAATTATTTATCTTAATTTACTCAGTATTCTACTGTGACCATTTTCTACTTGGCCCACTTTACTCCACATTCTCTCTTATACTCAACTCTACAATTTGTTAATGTTGCATTATGTTGAACATTTATTCTTTGTTACAGTCTATTTTCACTTTTTTTTTTTTTTTGTATTTTAGGGAAGGGTCTACAGGGTGTTCAGGGTCTCATTACTAGATCGGACTCATAGTGATCTGCTGTTTACAGCCTCCCAAGAGCTGGAATTACAAGCACACATCACCAAGCCCAGTCTCAACTGCCATCTAAGTGTGCCCCCTGCCCCTGCGTGCAGGTGCTTTAATCAGTTAAGCTATTTGGCCAGCCCTTTATTTTCACTTTGACTCTGCAAATCATTTATAAATTACTTAAACTCAGAATGCTTAAGTATGTAATAGTATAATGCTCGGTCACTGTGAACAATAAATCCTTGTTTGTGGGTTGATCCACTGAGCCTTCACACCTGAATTTCTTACGTTCTACTCAAGAAATTTAAAACACGGTAACATTTCTAAAAACTAAAAATTGAACTGATTCACTGATATGTTTATGTACTACAGTCTTTGGTCCTGGACATGGCTTAGCCAATCATAGCCCATGAAACAAATCAGGTTTCTACCTGTGTTTTTTTCTTTTGTTTTTTGTTTTTCCTTTTGGTACTGAGGATCAAACCCAGGGGCATGTTACTACTGAGCTGTACAACTCCAACCCCAGTCTTTGTTTTGTTTTATTTTAATCGCTCCAGTTTTGCAATAGGATCTCACTAAGTTGTCCAGGCTGACCTCAAACTCTTACTCTTCCCACCTCAACCTCCCATGTGCTGGGATTACAGGTATATACCACTATACCTACCCTGTTTTTGTGTGACTATGAGATAAAAATAGTTTTTTTTTTCCATGCCAGGTATGTTGGCATCTCCCAGTACTCTGGGAGGACTGCAAGTTTGAGCCAAGAGTGGATGATTTAGCAAGACCCTGCCTAAAGAGAAAACAATTCAAAGGCTGTTGGGGGTACTGGTGATACACCTTAATGTGAAGGCTCTGGGTCCACATTCCAGTGTTAAACCCCTTCCCTGGAAAGTTTTTATGTATACAAGGATAAGACAAAAAAATAAATAAATAAATAAATAAATAAAAATCAAAGAACATTTTGTGACTTGTGAAAATTACATAAAATTCACATTTTCACAGCTACCTACAAAAGTTCTCCTGGAACACTGACTAGGCTTGGTTGTTTATGCATTATCTGGGGCCACTTCTGCACTATAATTGCAGCTGAGTATGATGATATGACATGTACGGCCTAAAATATTTTCAATTTGAAATGATACAATTTGCTAATCCCTGGTGTGGAATACAAATGCTTTTCAAATGATATTCCAGTATATTGTAAGTTTTATATAGTTAAGTTAAAACATGCAAACTACCTAACATTCTTACAAGCTTTTTATCTAAAAATCATAACTCCATTTGTGTTATCACACCCTGGAACCTAATCAACATTTAAGCAGACATCCAGGCATACATTTTTATTCTCCAATACAAAGTGGTCTTGTATTAGAAAAACCCATCTCACAGTTTTCTCCAGCCAGAGAGCCAGCTAGTTATACAAGCTCAGCCTAGAATTTAGGATTTACCCTGTCTATATTGTGCAAACCCAATCTATATTCCCTGAAATGAGTCACATAAAAGTCAAAGAAATAATTCTTACATGACATATATGTATGTTCTTTTTCCAATGTAATATACAAGAGTTCCCTCATACTTTATTATAAACTGTACTATTATATAGTTAAAAACTAAATTTACTATCTGAATGTGGGAGAGGCAGAGGGGAAGGAGAGAACAAGCCCAGTAGGAAGAGGTGGCAAATGGCAAGGCTACTTATCAACACAAGGTACAAAGAAGTAAGCCAGTAAGAGGACAAACTCTTCTTGAACATGTTAAATGTGAGATGTCTGTGGGCGATTCAGATTTAAACAGCCAATAAGCACTTGGATTATGAGGTTTGGGGAATCTTGGAGGAGACTGTGCTGAATAAAGCTTTGGGAGTCATCAGTGAAGAGGTGCTCAAGGTGCTCTATGTGGAAGACACAGCCCCAGGGAAGCATATCATTAGCAAAATTAATAACTAAAGTGGGGTGACCAATATTTAGGCAATGAGTAAATAAAGAGCGGACTTATAAGCAAGATTAGGAAGAATCTGGGGACTAGAGAGATAGCTCAGTGGCATAAGCACCTGCCTGGCAAGCACAAGTGCAAGGTCCCAAGTATAATCCCTGATGCCACAAAACAAACAAACAAGCAAAACAACTCATATTAGAAAGAATCTGTTCACAGTGTATGAAGGCAACTGACTGAAAGTGACCTTTTTTCACAATCTTATGGAGAAATGAAAAATCTAGAAGTGTATAAATTTTTGAAAGGCAGAATGCAAGCAAAACTACTGCAAATTTCAGATATAATCAATGAATTTAAGTCTTAATTCCATGCAACTGTGTTTTTATGTACTCAAATCTAATGTAAAAGTGGTAAGTACTAGGAAAAAAAACCCTTTAAGTTAGGCAATGAATTCACATACGTGAAAGTAAATTTAACAAAAATTTAATTAAACAAAAAACTTTTTTAAGACATTAAAATTTCCATAATAACAATATTGCTTATAAACTGCTTAAATGAAAACAGCTATATCTATAACCTTTAAAATAACAAAGAAAAAGGGGTTAACTTTCAAATTCAAAAGTTATTTGCATGTGGTAGTTCACAGCTGACAGGAGCAGCTGTCTGGTTTGTCTAGACAGCTGTTCAGATTTGGTGGAGTTGTTTCCAGTACTGCCAGCAAGTTTTGCACCTTTTCAAAAACTGCTGGAGTGGGATCTACTTTCAGCTGAGTGAATAATACAAAGAATTGAACTTGGATTGGCATCAAAACAATTCCTAGGAGATGAGGCAGGCAACAGAGTTTTAAAAGTTTGTTACAATTATCTCTTTGATCTTTACTGCTTTTGGTCACTATTTCATTTCTCTTTTTTTCTTTGTGTTTTTTGAGACAAGGTTTCCCTATACTATTCAGGCTGGCCTTGAACTCACTTTGTAAACCAGGCTGGTCTCAAACTTGTGGAGATCCTCCTGCTTCAGCCTTCCAAGTGCTAAGATTATAGGCATGCATCACCATCCCTGGCTTAGTCACCATTTCTGATTTAAAAATGAAACTGTACAGTGTTTGGTTCCAACATTTCTACAGAAAATACATTTCATAAGTTTATCAAAAAAATGTGTAACCTTGTTCTACACATTTCAAAATACATACTATGTTCCTTGTATTTTATATGGTTCAATCAAAAAAGGAGTAGTTGGAAGGCTTGTGTATAAGTTTTTAAAACACATGAAAAGATAAATTGTAACAGTTGGAATTAGGTAAACTAGCTTCTTTCTTTTCTCTGAATTGGTCTTATTTGGATTTTTGCCCAAGTCATTTTATGTAACTTGTATACTCATCCTATCCTATAAATTAGCATCCAACAGAGGCAGACACATAAACATACGCATGTATTTATTAATTCCAACTCAATGGAATACCACATATTGGCATATGTGGGAATATATTTTTCACTTCTCTTCAGCCAATAATAAAACTGCTTTTAAAAACTATACTTAAAGTAAAATGTTATTAAGTAATACTAACTTATTCCAAGTCTTATACAAATACACTACTTTACTCAATAGTATAGCGTTTGCCTAGCATATGTAAGGACCGTGGGATCCCCAGCAGTACACACATACAAAAATAAAAAGAAACAATAAGAAACAGTACTCTATAACAGCAATTCTCAAAGTAGGGCCCAAAGAAAGTTCCTAAAGCCCTCCTGACTACAACAGCAGAACTATTCATGGTAATACTAAGACAGTATCTGCCTTTTCCACTCTGTCACACAGTAGAGTTTTCCAGGACACATGATTGGAGGTACAAATCGAATACAAAGCAGATAGGAGAGTCTGGCTGTGTTCTATTAAATCTGACATTAGAGACTTACAAATATTACAAAACATTCAAAAACAAAAGGTAAAACAATGCCACTCTTCTCATGAAATTTGTTTTCAAAAAGTTATTAATTAAAATGTTATTTATATTACCATGTAAAATTTCTTATTGCTATGTTTTAATGAAGTAATAAATCTTTTTCTTTTTAAACATTCTTAGCAGTTTGGGGGCTTTTTCTTTCAGGTACTGGTGACTGAATCAGGGTCTCATACATGCTACATAACTGCTCTACCACAGAGCTACACCCCCTATTCCTTGGTTTAAATTTTTAATAAGATAAATAATTACAGCTATAATCCCCACAAACAAAAGTTCTTTGATATCCTTCTTTTTTAATACTAACATAAAGGGATCTTGACATTAAAGTCTGAAAAATTCTGCTCTAAGATATTAAACTCTCTATACAGTGTTTTCATAAATTAACAAGAATCTTTTTATGTTATTAAAAAAAAAAACAAAACAAAACAGATGTTGATAAGATGAGAAGGGTTTAGGGGCAAAAAAAGGAGTTTGTCCTGTTTTACCTAAGAAAAATACAACAGCTTTCCCTGTTTTCCACAGCCCTTGTTGCCAGAGATAAAGACTAAGACTTACTGTGAAGAAAAGTTCCATAACTCTGCTGTCCAGAAGAGTCTCCCGCCAGGACTCTGTTGGCTTCAACAGCACATTTTGTGAGGATTCAAACATAGCTATATAATGTCTGCCCAGTTATCTGATGTCAAGGTCAACAACAATAACATTCTTACTTTGTCTAAAGTATAAGTATACCCTAAATATAACAGGAGCCATGCAGAAAGAATGTAATGGAAACAGTTTAAGCCTCTTCACATATGCTACATAATTCATGCATGAAGCTAAGGAATAAAAGGCATTAACTGCTGGGAAAAAACCCTACAGGAATGTAAGATAACGGTTTCATAGTAATTATGTGCCATGCTGTAGGGATATAGAAACTTTGATAATCTTTGATAATCAGAGTTCTTAACAGTAACAGGGAAAAAACATGACTTATAAAACAGGTACACAAACAGAGAAGAATCTCTGCAGCTTTGGTCCATCATTTATCTCCAATATCTTACAACAGTTAAAACCCCAGACATAAAATGTAGGTTTCAGATCAACTATGAAGTTAAAAAAAAAAAAAAAAAA